TGCAGAGGAGCGCACGCTTCCTGCCCCCTGCCAGCAGCAGCGGGAGGCGAGGGGGGAGCACCACCGGGCGGGGCGGAACCGGCACTGCTATAGCCCAGGCGGAAGCCCGGTCCCAGGCGTGTTGCAGCCCGGCTTGGGCTCCGAGGGGCACAGGAAGGGGCTGGAGCTGGGACAGCGAGGAAGTGAGCAGAGGAGCTCAGCGTGCTCTGCTGCCCGGTGGGCTCTCTGTAACACAGCCCAGCTGGGACTGCGTTTCTCTCTCTGGGCCACGGGGAACACGAGATGACCTCGCTCGGCAGTTGTGCGCGCATGGATTGATGGACGCTTTCAACTCCCCGATGCCTTCTTTTGAGTGTCTGAACGTGAATCCTCCAGGGGGGAAATTTCCACTCCTCTCCCCATTCCCAGCAGCCCGCAGTTTCCTTTCGGGGCCCCAGCAGGCAACATCTGCCTTTAGCTGCCCTTGCAGCGTTACGTTTTGTGCGCTTAGCGCTGGGCTGATGGCTCAGCTGGGATTGTGCAAACCCCTCCCAAGGCTTCTGTTCAGGATGTCCTGGCAGCTGCCGATCCCTTCAGCGCACAGTTTTGGGCCCTGAGCACGTCCAGCATCTGTGCCAGCCCCGGCACTGGGCTGTGTAACGGTCGCTGAAAAGCTGACAGCGTGTGAGCTGACAGGAGCACACGTTGAGAACGCGCCCGAGCAGCACGTCAGTAATGTGCAGCCCAGGCTGCCTCGTGCAAAAGGCGCACGGTGCTGAGAACCGTGCCCTGAAGCGAGCGCGGTGTGCGTGCGGAGCTGAATGGGAAGCGGCGCTCCCTGGTGGGGGAGGAGGGAAATTTAGCCGCCATTGCATTCTTGGTGCAATGGAGGAACTGGGCTTGTTTAACGAGGAGAAGGGAAGGCTCCGGGGAGACCACATTGTGGCCTTCGAGTACATGAAAGAAAAGCATAAACTAGTGGGGGAACGGTTTTTTACGAGCGTGTATAGTGATGGGACAAGGGGGAATGGTTTTAAATTGAGACAAGGGAGATTTAGGTTAGATATTCAGAAGATGTTTTGCAGTCAGAGAGTGGTGACACACTGCACGATGTTGCCCAGTGAGGTCGTGGATGTCCTATCCCCGGATGCATTCGAGGCCAGGCTGGATGTGTCTCAGGGCAGCCTGGTGTGGTGGATGGGGACCCTGCGCATAGCAGGAGGGTAGAAACTAGATGGTCACTGAGGACCTTTTCAACCCAGGCCATTCTATCATTTTCTGATTACCCTGAGATCTTCACTGTAACACATCACCTTAGAGAAGCTGACAAATTTCCAAACTAACCCTGGGTCTCTTACAGAAGATCTGTGTCAGCAAGGTGGCTTGACATCAGGCTGATAGGGATCTCTGTAGAGGTGTGACCTTGAGAGCCATCCCTGATTGTGGGGAGATCCCGTCGTGCAGCCCTTGCTGTGCAGTAGAGCTCAAGGGGCACTTGGGCTGCTCCCTGTTTAGGGGTAAGATGACTGCCTCCTTGCTAGGCATTGTCTTTAAGCATACAGTCTGTCTCTATCTCTTTTGCCTAACTGTGTGACTTGGTGTAGGGAACCTGCTTTGGCAGGGGGGTTGGACTCGATGATCTCTGGAGGTCCCTTCCAACCCCTACAATTCTGTGATTCTATGATACAGTCCATGTGCCCTCAGCTGTTGAACCGGGTATCAGTTCTTTCTGCCACCCAGTTGGAGTCAGCTTTGGGATTTGTAATCAGCTTCAGCCAGAGTGTTACCAGTGCTGTTGCTGCTTGTGTTCCTGTGCAAGGCCTGCTGTGCCATCCCCAGGCAGTGCCCTGCAGATGGGCTGTGGAGGGCTGGGCTGGGACAGGGACTGCTGCGTTCCCTCACAGCTCCCCTGCCATTTCTCTTGTCCCTGCAGGCTCCAGTTCAACTCTGCCTTCCAGCCGTGATCATTTCAGCTGCAGGAGAGCAGCAGATGGCCACAGCACATCCATCTCAGGTAGGGGCTGGGGGAAGCAGGCAGGAGAGGCCGAGGGGCGAGGGATGTGAATGCAGGTGGAGAGGGAGGTGGCCTCAGCCAGCGTGTGTGTGCTGGGGCCAGAGAAGCGGCTGGGACGGGAGTTTGTGTCCTGTTTGAGCTGCTTCCCTGGGCCTTGGCTGTTCCCAGCAAGGAGCCTCTTTGCTTGCAGGAGCCCGTGAGCTTTGCGGAGGTGGCCGTGTCTTTCAGCAGGGAGGAGTGGGCGCTGCTGGACCCTGCGCAGCGAGCGCTGTACCGGGACGTGATGCTGGAGACGTACCAGTGTGTGGCCTCGCTGGGTGAGGGCTTTGCTGCCTTTCCTCCTCGTTAGGGCATCTTTGGCTGTGCAGAATGAGCCTCTGCAGGCTGGGCATAGAATAATTGCCATGCAGTTACATATTGATAACAGCAACAGCAACAAAGGAAATACTGGGAAGCATGAGTTTCAGAAGGGATTGGTATGCACAACAGACTCATAAACGCCCCAGTGTCAGTTTTGGCAAGCAGGCATCAGCAGGAAGGTGAAAAACAGCCCTTCTATTGGTGCTTTACATCATGCCACCAGCTCCAGCTAACAGATGACACCCTTCTTACTCCTTTAGAATGTAGGATTTTGCATTCAATTGCCGTAAACATTTTGATGCCTTGGTCATTGATATATTTTCAGAAAATAAACAAACTGTTCTCAAGTTAATGTTACAGAAAAATCCCTTCCTAGTTTTCAGAGTTATAAAAGCATTCTTTGCTCCACAGGAAGCTGTGGACCCAGTGTCATTCAGGCCCAAAGTGTGATTTCTCCTTGGGAGGGGAACACAGGGTGGAGCTATCGAACAGGCACTGTGCCAGAATGATGGAATAATGGAATGCAGGGGTGATTGCTAAGCTGCTCTCAGCTATCTACCAGCACTCCTGGTTGACTGGAGAGGTTCCAGAGGGTTGGAGGTTTGCTGATGTGACTCCCATCTACAAGAAGGGCCATAAGGAGGATCTGGGAAAATACAGGCCTGTTAGCCTGACGTCAGTGCCAGGGAAGGTCATGGAACAAATCCTCCTGGCAGAGATCACACAGCTCGTGCGTGACGTCCACAGGATTAGGCCCAGCCTGCATGGGTTCACAAAAGGCAGGTGGTGTTTGACCAACCTCATCTCCTTCTACAACTGGGTGACCAGACTGATAGATGAGGGAAAGGCTGTTGATGTAGTATACCTAGACTTCAGCAAGGCCTTTGGTACGGTCTCTCACAGTATCCTTCTGTGGAAACTGGCTGCCTGTGGCTTGGACTGTTTTACCCTCCGTTGGATATGGAACTGGCTGGAGGGCCGTACTCAACGGGTGGTGGTCAATGGAGTTAAGTCCAGCTGGCGACCTGTTTCAAGTGGTTTCCCCAAGGGGTTGGTGCTGGGGCCCATCTTGTTTAATATCTTCATTGACGACTTAGATGAATGGATTGAGTGTACCCTGAGTAAGTTTGCAGATGACACCAAAGTGGGAGGTGGTATCGATCTGCCTGATGGTAGGGAGGCCCTGCAGAGGGATCTAGATAAGCTGGATCGCTGGGTCGAGGTCAATGGGATGAGGTTTAACAAGGCCAAGTGCTGGGTCCTGCACTTTGGCCACAATAACCCCATGCAGCACTATAGGCTTGGGGATGAGTGGCTGGATGAGTGTGAAGAGGAAAGGGACCTGAGGGTGTTGGCTGATGCTCAGCTGAACATGAGCCAACAGTGTGCCCAGGTGGCCAAGAGGGCCAACGGCATCCTGGTCTGCATTAGAAATAGTGTGGCCAGCAGGAGCAGGGAGGTAATCGTCCCCCTCTACTCAGCACTGGTGAGGCCAAACCTCAAGTATTGTGTTCAGTTTTGGGCCCCTCACTATAAGAAAGACATTGAGGCCCTGGAGCGTGTCCAGAGAAGGGCAACAAAACTGGTGAGGGGTCTGGAGCACAAATCCTATTAGGAGTGGCTGAGGGAGCTGGGATTGTTCAGTCTGGAGAAGAGGAGATGCAGAGGAGACCTCATTGCACTTTACAACTTCATGAAGGGAGGTTGTGATGAAAAAGGGTCTGGCCTCTTCTCCCAGGCAAATAGTAGGACCTGAGGAAATGGGCAGAAGTTGTACCAGAGGAGGTTTAGGTTGGACATTAGGAGAAACTTTTTCTCTCAAAGGGTGGTCAGGCACTGGAATGGCCTGCCCAGGGAGGTAGTGGAGTTGCTGTCCTTGGCAGTGTTCAAGAGCTGCCTGGATGAGGAGCTACGAGATATGGTTTAGTAGCTTGTGGTACTAATAGGAATGGGAGGGTGGTTGGACTAGATGATCTTGCAGTTTGTTTCCAACCTTGCAATTCCATGATTCTATGATTCCATGACTCTGATTCTATGAATTGTTCTCATCTCCCCTGTTTCTCTCATTGAAGCTCCACTTCCAGCCTCCAAACCCATGCTGATCTCCCTGCTTGAAGGAGGGGAAGAGCCCTGGATCCCAGATGTGCGTAGCCCTGAGGCCGTGCCAGGAGACCTCAGCCCAGGTGAGGTGGTGGAGGGAAGGAGGAGGTTGGGTCTGGAAGAGCCATCTCTGTCTGTGTTGTATTTTGGGCACTGTGTGCTCTTTGTGGATTTCCTGTCATCCAGCAGGAACTGGGATTGCAGATATGCTGGAGGACCTGCAGGAAAGTGGTGTGGCCGAAAGGCGGTGGGGTGGTGTCTGTGTGGAAGAAATCAGAAGGGATGTCCAAGGAGGCCTGGAGCAAGGTCAGGGTGAGCAGATCATGGAGCCACTGGGAAAGCGTATGTTAAAGACGGGGAGGAGCCCGCTGGACTTCACCGTAGGTCAAAAGGAGCCTGAAGAAGCCAGGAGCAAGGATGTGAGCCAGCAGAAAAAGCAGAATCCATGCACTGAGTGTGGAAATAGCTTTGAAAAAGATTCCGGCATCGTTAACCACCAGTGCATGCGCTCAGCAATGAGGCCATACAAGTGCTCTGATTGTGGGAAGAGCTTCAAATGGAGATCCCACCTCATTGTCCACCAGCGTGTCCATACAGGAGAGAGACCCTGCAAGTGCTCTGAGTGTGGGAAGAGCTTCACAAGGAGTTCTGAATTGAAGCTGCACAGGCGCATCCACACAGGACAGCAACCATTTCAGTGTCCTGAGTGTGGGAAGAGCTATAGATGCAGCTCTGAATTGAAGCTGCACCAACATATCCACACAGGGGAGAGACCCTACAAGTGCTCTGAGTGTGGGAAGAGCTTCACAAGCAGTTCTAATTTAAAGAGGCACCATCGCATCCACACAGGTGAAAAACCCTACAAGTGCTCCGACTGTGGGAAGAGCTTCAAGAGCAGTTCTGAATTGAAGCTGCACAAGCGCATACACACAGGACAGCAACCATTTCAGTGTCCTGAGTGTGGGAAGAGCTACAGATGCAGCTCTGAATTGAAGCTGCACCAGCGCATCCACACAGGGGAGAGGCCCTTCAAGTGCTCTGAGTGTGGGAAGAGCTTCACAAGCAGTTGTGTTTTAAAGAGTCACCAGCGCATCCACACAGGTGAAAAACCCCACAAGTGCTTGGAGTGTGGGAAGAGCTTCACACGCAGTTCTGTTTTAAAAAGGCACAAGTACATCCACACGGGAGAGACCTTACAAATGTCCTGAGTGTTAGAAGAACTTCAGAAGCAGTTCTGAATTGAAGTTGCATCAGCGCATCCACCCAGGTGAAAACCCCTACAAGTGCTCTGAGTGTGGGAGCAACTTCTAAAGCAGTTCCCACCTAACCTACCACCAGTGTATTCACACAGACAGACCCTATAAGTGTCCCGAGTGTGGGAAGTGCTTCAAAAGCAGTTCTGAATTGAAACGCCTCTAGAGCATCCACACAGGGGAGAGATCTTATAAGTGCTCTGTGTGTGAGAAGAGCTTCAAAAGAAGGTCTAATCTCAACACCCACAAGCACATCCATGGTGCATTCAGGCTGTAGAAGAATCACAAGATACGGGGAACTTCAAAAGCAGTTCCAGCCTCATTACCTACCAGCACAGCGACACAAGATACAGAGCCTGCAGAGCACTGGAAGAACTTCAGCCAGAGCCACAGCATGATGACCGCCTGTGGCTTTGTGTGGTGATGAACCTTAGAAATCTCTTGAGTAGAGGAAGAGCTCTGTGGCCAAACTCAATCCTCTTTCCCCTTCGTTGCATGAGAATTATGCATATTGCTCTCCTTCAGCTGCAGTTGCTGTGTTGAGTGGCTGTGCAAAGGAGAATCCAGAGTGGGATGTGTCACAGCCACTGGAAACCCTCTGCCAGGTGGCCCGTTTCTGGCAGGGCTGTGTGCCAAGGGAATCACCTCTTACCTCCCCTGTAGAAACTCCTGTGCTGTAGGGCAGCACAAAGGAAACCTCAGCTGGGCTGATATGTCACCAGGAAGGAAGAAATCCTGTCTGCAGGCAGTGTGGGAAGAGCTTCATCTGGAGCTCAACCCTCAGTAGACGCCAGAGAACCAACCCAAGAGGAGAGTCCAGTGAGTGCCTTGACTGCAGGAAGAGGTCTGTCCAGAGCTGGCAGCTCATCACACACCAGTGGATCCACGTGAGGAACCCTACAGATCTGAAGCCTGCAAGAAGAGTTTTGGCCACAGCTTGAACCTGCTGAGGTACCAGAGTGTCTGCACTTGGGTGGAGTCCAATTCGTGCCTGCACCAGTGAGTTCACGTGGCAGGAAGCCTTAGAAATGCCTCGAGTGTGAGAAGGGCTTTGTGCAGAGCGCAGAGCTCCTCACTCACAGGAGATGGCACTCGTGGAAGAAGTGCTACAAATGTCCCATGTGTGGGAAGACCTTTTACCTGTGGATCCACTCAGTGCAGAGACCATGGAAATGCCTGCACTGCAGGAAGAGCTTCATCCAGAGCACAATCCTCATTAAACATTGTCCAGTCCATGTGATAAATTGGCCCTGCAAGTGTCTCTGGTGCAGGAAATTTGTCTGGGCTGGCACCTACTTTCCCATGGGGAAACCCCCTACAGAGAGACCTTAAGAATTTTGGTGAGCCCAAGGATGAGGGAGACCCAGATGCTTCTCCCCACACAGGAGGAGTTTGCAAAGGAGATGGCATCACTGCCACCCTCTGCAGAAGGGATTTAACCCAGGAGCTTCAGATGGCCTCTCCTTGCTACCCAAATCCTGCTTTCCTCTTCTGCTCTTCCTGCCAGCAGCTTTTTGATGCCGTTTCCTAAGGAGAGGCATCTGTGTAGGGATGTTCTGTGTGTCTGTGTGCATGTGTTGCTCTCAGTAATTTGTGAGTGCTCTGATGAACCTGAGGGAAGGGTCAGGAGAGCAGTAACGTGGCTCTTGGAGGTTTTCTGAGAATCATCTGTAGAGGAAAGGGAAGGGGATGAATAAAGTAGCTGAGTTGTTCTGGAGCTTTCTTCTGTCTTGTTTGTTGTTCTTAAAATAAATGTCAGCACGTGGAATGAGGAGAGGGAAAGGTGTAAGCAGGATTTGGTTTTGGTGCCTCCTCCAGCCCAGTGATTGCTTTTGGGAAGGCATTTCTTTCACACAACTCAGTCATTCTTCCTAACCCAATGTGCTGCACAGTGGTTCTATTGCTCTTCTCAAATGCTTGTATCAAGAGCTCAGAGCTGCTGTGTGAAATCAAGCCTTGTTTGTCTCCAATAAAACTACAAAAAACTGAACATTTTTTCCAAAGGCACCACCCCAAGTTTATGGATGCAGGTGGGTGCAGAGGGCAGTGCAAACCCCTAGGTTGCACAAGCAGCTCGTCTGCACTGCACAGAGATATCAGAGTGCTCTCCACTGTTTGCTGGTCTTACAAGTGATCCCTTTTGAGCTTGAAGGTTTTTATTTTGACCTTGGGAAGGTGTATCCAAGGTCTCCTGCAGCAGAGCCTTCACATTTGTTGTGCTCAGCTAAAGCTGCTGTGCTTGGAATGCCGTTGGCAGGAAGCGGAGTTCGATTTTGGTGAACCAGTAAAGCTTTTTTTCCATTTTTTTTTTCCCCTGAAAAAAACATTGCAATGGCGGTTTTCCCCCCATGGTTTGTCACATGTCATGTTTAGTTGCATTAAAAATTAGAAAAGTCATCTCCTTCTGAACTTCCCAACTTTCCCTCTGCTCTGGGAAAAGTCCTTCTGCTGCGGACATGAGTCCCTGCAGAGTTGTGACTGCAGTGCCCCAACTGCAGGAACAGGAGCATTTCTGATTCCACAATGGTTTGTTTTCCTTGTGGTGATGGAGAAGGAGGGGGCCTTCCATTCTCGGTGTGGATGTTCACTTTGGAGGTTTTGTCATGGTGAATTCTAGTAGTTGCATCCACCCCACAGAAAGCTGTGCCCTCCGTGTCATAGGTCACCTCTGCACTCATGGAGTTGACACAGGCACAGACAGAGCTCCCAAGGGAACAACCAGCCCCCCAGGTGCCCATGTGCAAGGCTGTTAGGTGTTATTGGTTATTTGCATTGGCATCCAAAGTTGGAGGCCCTGTGTGCTGCAGCATCATCAGCATGAGTGAGAGGTGGTGGGAACAGTCCTGTGACGGGTGTGCTGTGTGTGATGGATGGCTCTGGGCTCTGCAGGCTGGAGATGCAAGCAGGTGAGATGGGATGGGGTTGCTGTGTGTACTTGTGGGCTGGATGGAATGGAGCTTAGAGTTAGTAATGACATGGTTGAAAGCCTCTGGGTATGGATTAAGGGACAAGGAAAACTAAAGAGGTCGTCACTGTGGGAGTCTACTATAAGCCATTCAGCCTGGACAGTCATACCAATTAATTCTTTAAAGGAGTATCTCAAGATCAGCCTCTCTTGTCCTAATGGGTCACTGGATTCCCAGCAATTTAGGGGTTGTAGCACACAGCCAATGAGCTGCGTGGTTTTCACAGCCAACTGATGTGATTATATGTGACTGTTGAAGTCATGTGGGGGATACTCACACATCCACCCAGGAGCAGGAGAGAAGGGTCAGGAGAGCAGTAACGTGGCTCTTGGAGGTTTTCTGAGAATCATCTGTAGAGGAAAGGGAAACGAATGAGTAAAGTAGCTGAGTTATTCTGGAGCTTTCTTCACTGTAGCCATCTATCACAGCACTCCAGTCATGGGAGTGCTCCCACCATGTTTCAGAAATAGCAACAAGGTCATAATTAGCCTGACTCACAATCGCTTCCAACTCTTTCTGCTTGTTGCTCTTGCTGCGTGCATGGTTATAGACACATTTCAGACGAGTCATCTGCCTCACCCCCAGCTCAAGCATCGTTCCCCTAGGCTCATCTCTTGAGAGGCCTGTTTTGTCCCCTTCCCCCTTCATAGCTATTTTAAAGCTCTTTCAATAAGTCCCGCTAGTTCGTGTGCTAGTATTTGTTGTCCCCTTTGAGATAGATGGGTTCCACAGACAGACAACAGGCCAGGGGCCGAGTAAACTGCTCCATGATCAAAGAACCCAAAGTTTCTGGCACAACACCAGCCTCTGAGCCAATTATTCATCGCTTGTGCTTTCCGATCCCACTCACAGTCCCTCACTGCCCCTGAAGGTATCGAGCAAAAGATCACTTGAGCTCCTGCTCCTTGAACTGAATGCCCTAAACCCCTGAAATTTTTTTTCATCGTGCGTAGGCTTGTCTGAGCAAATTCATCACTGCCCACCTGAACTACGAGTAGTGGAAAGTAGTCAGATAATCTAACCAGCTTTGGGAGTTGCTTGGTTGTGTCCCTGACCCAAGCCTTAGGAAGGCAGCACACTTCCCGACAGCCCGGGTCAGGTGTGCATATAGGGCCCTCCGTTCCTCTGAGAAGGGAGTCACCCACCACGACCACCCTTCTTTCTTTCCTGTCAGAGGCAGTCTCAAGGTGTGGGGGTGACCGCCTCGCCCTAGGCTCTCTCCTAGGCAGATCCTCTATCACTTCTCCAGTCACCTCCCTTGAACTTCTAGCAACTGGAACCTGTACTCAGAGTAGTGGAAGCAGGCTGGGCAGGCGTGGGCGTCTCTTGTGACACCGAGTTGGGACTCTCTTCCAACCTTCCTCATCAGTGAGGTCTGTCCAACTGTGACAGGATAGGGGGTCCACCACCTGTCTGGGCTTTTTCTCCCAAAGCCCTTC